TTTTCTGTCTCTCTCTTCCTGCCTGGCGAGTGCCCGCGCCCTTATAGGAAAAACCCCTCAAAAAAAAAAAAAAAAAAAAAAAAAGATGGAGAAATTGGGCCCATTTTGCTTCCAACTCCTGTGACTCCTCCAGTCTGGGAATGTGACTTTCAACAATGTAATCACTAAAAAAACAGCTCTACAACGTGGCAGCAGATACACTGTGAAACTGGCCATAACAGGATGTAACCTTATAACCTATAAAAGCAAGGGTTTCACTCTGAAACCTCTCAATGAAAACACTCAGACCCCCAGGCTGAAAGAACACACCCTCACACCTTCTTCCAGCTGAATCAGGGAGTACAGCAGAACTTGGTGGAAGTGTAGATTCTAGTAAAGAAACTCAAAGTCTTCGATATTAGTAACTCCATAATTCCCTTGCTCACCTGGGTTTTATAAAGAATGAAATGCAGAACCAACAGTTGGTGTAATGGCTATGTTGCTGGACTCCCATGTAGTTGACTGCAGTTCGAGTCCCAGACCCGGTGGCTTAAATTCACAGGCGCGTGTGCGTGCATGCCCAAGATCCTGAGAGGAGAAGGCACTGTGGCAAGGCCATTCCCCCTGGGGGGTGATTTCTTGCTTTCTGTGTCTCTGTCTCTGTCTGTCTGTCTAGTGAGCTATAAACCTCTAGCAAAAACCTCTCAAAAAAAAAAAATGAAATGCTTCTTGTTGCTGCTCAGCATCAAAGACCATATTTTTTCCTACCTACACTTGATTTTCTTTTTTTTTTTTTTTTTGAGAGGTTTTTGCTATAGAGCACGTGAGCTCGCCAGAAAGACAGAGACAGACAGAGAGACAGAAAGCAAGAAATCACCCCCAGGGGGGATGGCCATGCTGTAATCCCCTCTCCTCCATTCTCCTCTCGGGATCTTGGGCACACACGTCTGGCGTGAGTTTAAGCCACCAGGTCCAGGACTCAAACCACAGTCACTACATGGGAGTTCAGCGACATAGCCATTACGCTAACTGCTGGTCCCAAGATCGTATCTGTTCCTACCTACGCTTGATTTTTAGTTCCATCTCAGGAGCTTCTGGATAAGGACGACTAAACATCTGCGTGTGCAGCTCTACATACCGTTATGTTGGCTCCCGTCAGGCGGTTGATACGATGCATGTGTTTACAGAACTCTGGCCCATGCCCTTCCCGGTCTTTATCATTATTAGTGACAAACAAGTAGGCATGTATCATTTCATGCAAGAGGGTCTGCAACAGAAAACAGGGTAACCTGTTACAGAAATTTTGAAGAAAGCACTTCCTACTCTACTTGAGGCCTTTAACTTCTTTGACATTTTTGCTATTGGGCACATGTGCTCGTTGGAGAGAGAAAGTGAGAAATCACTCCCCCCAGGGGATGGCCACACCCTTCTCCATTTTCCTCTCAGGATTTTGGGCGCACAGCACACGGGCCCAATGTACTGAATCCAGGACTCCAATCACAATCAACCACATCGAGTCTAGCATCTTAACCACCATGTCATCTGCTGGCCCCCCTTCTTTAGATCATAGGTTTCTTTTCGGAAACTGTAAAAGTCATAAACTATCTTTCCAGGAAACTTACATAAACACACATTCACAAAACTTTACACATAATATACAAAGCTCTGCAGATCCCAGGTTAAAAAATTCCATGTTCTAGGGTCAACAAGTGACATAGAGGTTAAGGCAGCTGGATTCCCATAGCTGACTCTGGTTCAAGTCCTGGACCTAGTGTTTTGAAAATCATGCTAGGTGCATGTGTGACCATGCCCAGAATTCCAAGAGGAGAATGAAGGAGAAGGGACTGCGGCATGGCCATGCCCTGGGGAAGCTAATTTCCCTCTTTCCTTCTCTCTCCCTTAGTGTGTGGCCATCCACCTTAAGGAATGATTTCTTACTTTCTCTGCCTTTCTCCAGTAAGCACACATCCCATATGGCAAAAATCTTAAAAAAAAAAAAAAAAAAAAAAATTAAAAAGAAAAAAATAAAAGTTACACCTTTTTCCTAGTAAAATTTCTGAAAAAAAAAATTTTTTTTTTGAGAGATTTTTGCTATAGGGCACGTGCGTTTGCCAGGAAGACACAGAGAGAAAGTGAGAAATCACCCCCTGGGAGAATGGCCACGCTGCAATCCCTTCTCCTCAATTCTCCCATCGGGATCTTGGGCACGCACGCACACACGCCCAGCGTGAGTTATAAGCCACCGGGTCCAGGACTCGAACTGTGGTTGACTACATGAGAGTCCAGCAACATAGCCATTACGCAATGCTGATCCCGAAACTTCTGAAATCTTTAGTCCGACACGAATACAGCCACAATAACTTTCTGTTAAGTGTTTGGGCGATGTAAGTTCTTCCATCCTTTACATTCGAGATATGTGTGCCCTCACCTACTGTGCATCTCCCCACTTGGAGCCCGCTCAGTCCACTTACACTCACCATTATTACTGACTCCGCGTAAACCTACTCTGCTCTTCACAGCATCTTGTCTTTGTTCTTTATTCCTTTCTTTGTCATTAATCACGTATTTCTGTTGTACAATTTTATATTTAGTAGCTACTGACTTTTTAAAATAATTTTGGTAGGCCAGATCGTGGCCTGATGTTTAAGGAAGCTGGATCCCACATGGCTGACCACACAGTTCAAGTCCCGGACCAAGCAGCTTGAAAATATGCATGGGGTGGGCATGCTCAAAATCCCAAAAGGGAGAAATGAAGAGGGACTGTGGTGTGACTACACCCCCTGTGGCTACTTTGTCCCTCACCCTACCTCCTTCTGGAGAGTGCAGGCACCCACTGGAAAAATTGAAAAATAAATAAAAACAGTGGTGGGGGTCAGTAGATGCCATAGCGGTTATGTCACCGGATTCCTCATGGCTAACCTCAGTTCAAGTCCAGGACCTGGCGGTTCCAAACTTATGCCAGGTGCGTGTGCATGAGTGCCCAAGATCCCGTGAGGAGAATGGACAGAGGGGTTGTGGCATGGCTATCCTCCCTGAGGATGATTTCTCACATTCCTTCTCACTGTCTCTCTCCCTCTCTCTCTGGCAAGTGCACATGCCCTGAGACAAAAAGCTCTCCAAAAAAAAAGTGGTAAAAACATAACACAACACATACCATCTCTACCATTTTTATGCACACAGTTCGGTAGTGCTAAGTTCTGCTTTACTATGAAATCCACTGCCTTTTATTACCCTTACAAACAGCATCCCAGCCTGGCCACACTGGCAGCACCTGGCAGGCTGAGCCACACAGAGGGCCCAGATTTAATTCCACCCTAAAAAGCCAGGTGCAGTGGCACACACCTCTAAGTCCCAGCTCCTCCAGAAGCTGGGACCTCTGGAGGAAGGAGGATCATGCGCTAATAGCCAGCATGCGCAACAAAGCGAGTCAAGCACGGTGACATACACCTGTGACCCAGCTACTCTGTCACCATTTCAAAAATAAATCCCACCCCCAAAAAAAGGCAGCACCCCTTATGTTCCCAAGCTTGTGTAATTTCACTTCCCACTCCCTGAAGAGGCTACCTCTCAGCTCGTACATGCAGCTCTGTCCAGTGATATTCCTGGGTAAGGACAGGCATCCCGGGTTCATGGGCATTTCAGGCGTCTACTACACTCAGCACCGGGGAGTCCTGCTGCTCCATCTGGCTGGCGGGAGTGACCACCAGCTCTAAGTATAAAGTGTGCCCTCCTGCTGGGCTGTGCTGCTGGTTCGGGTGTCCTGGGAGAGTGCGGTGTGGCAGATGATCAGAGGACCGAAATCAGTGTGCTTTGAAGTCAGGTGGTGGCACGCAACCAGACCCACATGGAAAAGGTCCTCCGTCTGCACCCTGGGGCTTCCCTGAGTATGCTGGCATGCAATGTGCGTCCATGATCCCGGCCGGTGAGACTGGGGGGGGGGGGGGGGGGGGGGGGGGAGGGGGGGCTTGGCAAGACCCTGATAGGGACAGCTGTCTTTCTCTCATTGAAGACATGAATTTTTTTAAAAAAAGTTAAGCAACATAAAATTTGTGTGTTTCAACAGGGAGACTTGGATCCTGTCTTTCTCTGCTTCTCCATGTTTAACTTCAACCAGTGACTTAACTTCTCTGAACCTTAAATTTCTCATTTGCAGAAATAACAGTAATAACACACACAGGGCATAAACAAGGCTGCTGAAAGACCTTCCTCACTGCCCCTCGTGTACGTCTGCACCGAGGAACAAGAGTTTTTCTGTAAAACTCGCGGGCTAACGCACAGACGTCTAAGTCAGTGAGGAGGGTTCCTACATCACGGCCAAGAGTGAGATCTGTGCATCGAATACCTCCACGAGATCCTTCCTTGGTCTCAGCTTTAACAGGGGCTCGCTGAGCCGGATGGAGCACATTCCGCCCCTCCCTTCATAGCTGCAGACCCCAGCACACCTGGAAAACAACAGCAGCACGTGTTACGTTTACCACACAGAGAAGGAGATGGGGCGACTGCTGACACGTCCTTGGGCAGTCACTCCAGAGCAGCCCCAGATGGCTTTCTGGGAACGTGCCCTCTTGGCTGGCAGGTGCTCACGTGGCACCGTCAGTGAACTGCAGTGGCTTCCCTTACCCTGCCAGGCTGCACAGGCTCAAAGGCAGTCCTATTCTGCTGCTCCCAGCCTCTCCTCCCACCGACTACAACTGGTCGTGGTGACTAACAGGCAGAGATCTGCACTTTCAACGGCTTTATATCAGGCCTTCATCTGTTTCACTGTGAGTTTTCTATCAGTTCAAAACACAAGCATGGTAACACACGATTGTTTCTTCAACTTCACTGCATTCCTGTGCAGGGACTGACTACTACTTCAAGCTGAGACTTCTCTAACTTAGTGTACAGAAAAGGGATCCTCTTAGCGCCATCGCTGCAGGTCACTTAGGTCCAGAAATATGGACACGGCAACTCCTTCCCATTGCAACACACCACTTCATTACTGAGAGGGGGTTTCCTAAGAACAGAGGACAACACAGAGTTTTCTGTGTCCTCCCCGCTTTCTTAGGGGGAGAGCTGGTGGCTTCTCCCTCTTGGGTCCTGGGATGCTACTATAAGATAATCTTTTGAATTTCAAAGACAAGTCTTCCCTTCTCCTCATGTCCCTCATCAATCCAACCGCAGCAGTGCGTGTCACACGGCTTTTCCTTTCCAGGGTAAGGGAGGAGAAACACCGGAGAGAAGAGCCAGCCCCCAAGTCTAATGCCCCAGGCCCGTGGTGGAGACGGGGAAGCCCAGGGCCCGGCTGCCTCTTCCCCGGGGTCGGGACTCACAGGGTCATCCGCATGCTCCACTTCACCTCGACGGCCTCCAGCTGGCCCCAGAAGAACCGGTCGTTGAACTGCACAAACAGGCCCTGGAGATCCGGCGTGGGGTCCACCAACTCCCAGGACGCATCCACAAGCGACAGCGGCTCCTGGGCCCGGTCGCGCTCCGCCGCCTGCAGGTTCCATTCCTCCTGCAGCCGCAAGGCCAAAAGCAGGTCCTCTTCCATCGCGGGTCTGCGGTGGGGTCGCGCGTCGGGCTGGCTCGGGGTAGGCCTCCCGGCGTCGTCCTGGGCGATACCGGCTCGGGGTTGTGCTCGGGCCGCCGCCAACCTCGCGAGAACTAGGAAAACGGGCTCGAGAGCGAGAGCTCGGCTTCCCCAAACGCCAAAGCCAAGATTCGGGAGTTAAAAAAAAAAAAATAGTCGGCACAACTTGTGGGCGCAGACCAGGGCTCCCAGGGCCCCAGGAGCGACAGAAATCCGGTTATCGCCTCTACCCTCCTCCACAACTTCAAACCCCAGCACTCAGCGACGCCCATGCGCAGTACCCACACCCGGCCGCCTTGCCCCTCACTCACTTCCGCACTGACTCTGACGGCACATGCGCCCTAGGCCGCTGGGCGCTGGCGCAGGCGCACTACCAGCGCTCGATCCCGTGCGCAGGCGCGGTGAGTGACACTCGGGCCCAGGCGCAGGCGTACTCGGCACTCCCCAGCCCTCTTGCCTCCGTGGAGTCTGACCCATTTGGGTGGGTCTTCGCGGTGGCGACAGTGACTGCTCGAGATGGCGATGGCGATGTCAGACAGCGGGGCGAGCCGCCTGCGGCGGCAGCTGGAATCAGGGGGCTTCGAGGCGCGGCTGTACGTGAAGCAGCTCTCGCAGCAGTCGGACGGGGACCGGGACTTGCAGGAGCACCGGCAGCGCATCCAGGCGCTGGCGGGGGGGGC